TATATCCATTTGTGATATTGAGACCGTTCGGGTGAAATGAACTGTTTGAGAGACAAATAATGAAGTATTGGGAACCATTTTTCTGTAAAATTAGATTTTGTGGGATTATGCGACATATAATTTAATTTGTTGGTGACCGCATCCATTAAATAGTGACTCCATAATTTTTTGTACCATACTTCTATTTTGGGTGCTGTTTTCTCCTTCCAATAGGAAGGAATTGCTGTTTTCGCAGCGTCAAGCATCACGTCGACCGTGAGTTTATGTGGCCTGTTCTCTAGCTCTTTAGGCCAAGTGTTTAAAAACAGTACTTCCGGATTTAGTGGAATCCGTACAGATGTTACCTCTTGGATTAAGGACAGAATTTCCTCCCAAAATTTCTTAATTTTAATACACTCCCACCAACAATGAGCATAGTTTCCAATTTGGTTACATTCCTTCCAGCACATTGGGGATTGGGTCGATGTAATATGAGATAGCTTTAGAGTGTTTCTTGAGGCAACTGTCAGGCATTAGTGATGAGATTGGGACTAATGGCTGCTATTGATTTCCTCAGAAATTGGCAGGAAATTGGCGCAGGCTTACACCACCATTCCATAAATTTGCCAAGAATAAAGTTGAGCTTCCTAATAATCTTTCCTCTTTTTTACTGGGCCGGGGCAAAATTGTAAAAAAAACACTTCTCAAAGATCATTGTATTGTCTTACAATCACAAGGTGGCCACTTCTGCACTGTCAATCCCTATTGCTTTGGACCCCCCCCTCCCCTTTCACATGTGTTTTGCTCCCTCTGGGACTACGAGAGAGAGCAAAACACATGGGAGCAAAACACATGAGTGACAAAAATGACAGTGCAGAAATGGCCTGTGAGTGATCACAAAGTGCATATAGCATTGAACAAAAACTATCCTCTGCCTTCCTATACATAGCTAACATTCACACAGTGGTAACCCTATAAAGAAGAATTACAATTCAGCCATCGATCTCTAAACTTCATTCAGCACAAATTTCCAAGCAGATGCTTAAAACAGTAGACCGTACCAGCAATGGAGCCAGTAGAAAGCCCTGAAAACCAGTAAGGTCTTGCATGCCCTTGTAAATGCAAATACATTGGGGGGGGGTGTCTGATGAACAGCCTCAGGCAGGGCATTCAGCACACAAGAAAGGCCTGCGCTTTGGTTGAAGCCAAACAAATATCACAGACAAAGGAAACAATGTTGTCCTCTGACCTGCAAATCTCTTTTTGTGCTTTGTTGTTATGGTAAAAGATTCCGTTGCCCGAAAGCCAGTCGAGTCTGACTCTAGGGTTGCGGTGCTCATATCCGTTTCAAAGCCGAAGAGCCAGCGCTGTCCGAAGACGTTTCCGTGGTCATGTGGCCGGCATGACTAAACACGGAGGCGCATGGAACGCTGTTACCTTCCCACCGAAGTGGTCCCTATTTATCTACTTGCAATTTCTTGCTTTCGAACTGCTAGGTTGGCAGGAGCTGGAACTAGAGATAAGAACATAAGAACATAAGAACATAAGAGATGCCAATGTTGGATCAGGCCAAAGGCCCATCCAGTTCAACACTCTGTATCACTCAGTGGCCAGAAATACCAGTGCCATCAGGAGGTC